TTTCTGACATAAGGATGGTGTCATCTGCATATCTGAGGTTATTGATATTTCTCCCGGCAATCCTGATTCCAGCTTGTGCTTCCTCCAGCCCAGCATTTCTCATGATGTACTCTAGCCAGAAGTAAATCTGAAACAACAAAAATACACCCTCCCCCTTTTTTAAGAGGACTTTTGATTTATGTTACCTTATTATCCTAAGTGATTACATGGCAAATCTAAGGCACAGTTCAGTTCAGTTGCTCAGTTGTGTCCAACTCTTTGCGACCCCATGGACTGCAGCATGCCAGGCCTCCCTGTCCATCACCAACTCCCAGAGTTTACTCAAACTCATGTCCATTGAGTCAAGGATGCCATCCAACCATCTCATCCTCTTCTCTTTCATTCCCTTCTCCTCTTACCTTCAATCTTGCCCAGCATCGGGGTCTTTCCCAAAGAGTCAGTTCTTTGCATCAGGTGGCCAAAGTACTGGAGTTTCAGCTTTAGCATCAGTGCTTCCAATGAATATTCAGGATTGATTTCCTTTAGGATGGACTGGTTGGATCTCCTTGCAGTCCAAGGGACTCTCAAGAGTCTACTCCAACACCTCAGTTCAAAAGCATCAATTCTTCGGTGCTCAATTTTCTTTATAGTCCAACTCTCACATCCATACATGACTACTGGAAAAACCATAGCTTTGACTAGATGGACCTTTATTGGCAAAGTAATGTCTCCGCTTTTTAATATGCTGTCTAGGTTGGTCATAGCTTTTCTTCAAAGGAGCAAGTGTCTTTTAATTTCATGGCTGCAGTCACCATCTGCAGTGATTCTGGAGCCCCCCAAAATAATGTCGGTCACTGTTTCCATTGTTTCCCCATCTATATGCCATGAAGTGATGGGACCAGATGCCATGACCTTAGTTTTCTGAATGTTGAGTTTTAAGCCAGCTTTTTCACTCTCCTCTTTCACTTTCATCAAGAGGTTCTTTTAGTTTTTCTTTGCTTTCTGCCATAAGGATGGTGTCATCAGTATATCTGAGGTTATTGATATTTCTCCCGGCAATCTTGATTCCAGCTTGTGCTTCATCCAGCCCAGCATTTCTTATGATGTACTCTGTAAGTTGTATGAGGTAAGTTAAACAAGCAGGGTGACAATATACAGCCTTAACGTACTCCTTTCCCAATTTGGAACCAGTCTGTTGTTCCATGTCCAGTTCTAAATGTTGCCTTCTCATCTGCATACAGATTTCTTAGTTTCCCCCTCAGTCAGTGTCTCCCATCAGGAAGCTTCCATAAGCCTGTTATCATTCTCCATTAGAGGGCAGACAGAATGAAAACCACAATCACAGAAAACTAACCAATCTGATCACATGGACCATGGCCTTGTCTAACTCAATGAAACTATAAGTCATGCCATATAGGGCCATCCCAGAGGGGCAGATCATGGTGGAGAGTTTTGACAAAACATGGCCCACTGGAGAAGGGAATGGCAAACCACTTCAGTATTCTTGCCTTGAGAATCCCATGAACAGTATGAAAAGGCAAAAAGATAGGACACTGAAAGTGTCCCCAGGTCGGTAGGTGCCCAATATGCTACTGGAGATTAGTGTAGAAATAACTCCAGAATGAAGAGATGGAGCCAAAGCAAAAACAACACCCAGTTGTGGATGTGACTGGTGATGGAAGTAAAAGTACATGCTGTAAAGAGCAATACTGCATAGGAACCTACAATGTTAAGGCATTCCAGGTTAACATGTTAACATTAACATGTTAATGTTAATCTAAGGCACATGTTTGCTCAAATTCTGCCCTCAGTGCTATTCTCCCCACTAAAAGGAACCAGAATTCCTTGCACTACATTTAGGAGCCAGAAACATGAGTCCAGATGACCTCACTGCTGTTATGCCAGGATTCTTTCAGAGAAAAACAGAAAAAAATAAAGCAAAATTTAAAGGACAAAGAGGGCATCTTAAACAAAAACTCTTAAAAGTCCAAGTAGTAATAATTTGCACATTTGAAGTATAGAGTTAGACAAAATGTATTACAGTTACAAAGCATACCAGCTTCCAATACTGTCTATAAGACATGTTATATATGTTATTTAGTGGCCAACTCAAATTAAATTAATTCTCCACTGTATTCGTGTGTGTGCTTGTCATTTGACTCTTTGCAAACCAATGGACTGCAGCTGGCCAGGCTCCTCTGTCCCGGGATTCTCCAGGCAAGAATACTGGAGTGGGTTGCCATGCCCTTCTCCAGGCAATCTTCCCAACCTAGCGATCGAACTCATGACTCTTATGTTTCCTACAATGGCAAGCAGGTTCTTTACCACAGCGCCACCTGGGAATCCATACTATCAACATTGGAGAACAAAAACAGGAAGAATATACCTGGAACATACTTAATTGTATAATTATTAGGTCACAAAAGACTAGTGGGAATTAAGGATTAGAAGATAATGTGAAAATCAGAAACATTTTTATAGGGAAATTACTCTAGGAAGATACAAGAGTAGAAAGAAATTAAGCACGCAATTGATGATGGAATCTAATGTTTAGAGTGAATAGACAACAAGCGGCTAGTGTAATAAACTCAGCAGAAACTAGAAGTCTGTCAGACCTACAGGAGCCTTCCTGACAAAAAGAAGAAAAAAAAGAACTGTGGAATGATTTATATTTTAACAAAGAAAAAGAGGCAGTCCATGAATACATTTGAAATTCAACCTAATGGGATAGAGTGTCTACCTATGTTCTCTCCTGAAGTTGAATGAAATAAACACATGAAAATGAATGAAATTTATGGAAATTCAGAGAACATGTTGTAATTAGTTCCATGTCAGGAAAAAGGTCTGGGATATAATTGGGGGTGGGGCAGAAGGTACACATAGAGCAAAAATAAGGTTATGAAAAAGAAAAATGTGACTTACATTTTAAAAAATTAACTTCAGCCTGTGGGTCTTAGGTCATATAATATATTGCTTCTGCCAATGACTCATTACAAGTAAGTGCAGGAATATCATGCAAGTGCGTATCTACATGGTCTCATTTATTCTTATAAGCTGAAAACCTGGAAAGAAAACTCTGGAAACAGCAGGAGCCCAAGCTGGAGAAAGCTGGAATATATCTCTCCTGATAGCTGTCTAGTGGCCTGGGTTTAAATCAACTTGGAAAGACTACTTATAGATTGCTCTCTCCTTCCTTATCATCACCTACTAAAGGAGAGTAGCTGCCCATAGCAGGGAGCAGGACAAGGAGTCAACAGTAGGTTCTCATCAAGTTCTTGTTAACTGAATCTCCTTTGTCTACCTCCTTTTGGATTCAGAGTATATAATTTATAGAGAATTTAAGACATCCATTCACTCATTATCATAATTATGAAAAATATTAATGGAGGTACATGGTATTCATTGTGCACTGCAGGGTTTTATATAGAGATTTGAGGGAGAAACTGCAGCATAAGTAATGATAATTCAAAAACCTTTGGTTCTTGATAACTGTATATTGCTTATATTTAAAATCCAAATTGAATCAGATTATAGAGTCATTCTGTACATGTGCATGAACATAGACAAATAAATAAGCGTGTTTGCCTTACAAAAGCATGTATTTAATGTTTCTCCTTTGAGCTTACCCCCTAAACTAGTTCAACTGTTAGCTTATAAAAAGAAAACCATGCCATGAGATTGGAGATATTAAAAATATTTTTCATCTTCTATCTCATCAGTATTATGCTCACCTGGGTTTATTTAATAAATGGTTACCTCCCATGAGGAAAACATTAGGTGCTAAAGAGAAAGTGCAAAGAGTTACTACTGTAAACGGATACTGAGCATGGTTTAGGTGTCAGATTGTTGGGTTAACTTCTTGGATCTAACACTGTGGACTGAGCTCATTGCTATGAAGAGTAACTGAATTTTGTGTAACCAACTAGACCTTGCTAGGCAGAGAGGTTAAGATCTATTTTTAAAAGTAGCTCACAGTCTAATGATGGACACAGTATCAGAGTAATGTATAACTAAGACCAAGACTTGTGGGAAGTGCCTGCCCCAAGATTCCAAACGGAACATGGTTTTAATGATACTGCTCTGCTCCTTTATCTTGTTTCAGAGTTGTGAATACAACTGAAGAAGTGATTTCTCTTTTGTCTTATCACTATCCCTTTAAGAAAGAAACTCAGAAAACTAGACCTTTAGTTATTGTGTTTAAATAATATACCAAGCTGCTATTTTCTCATTTTGTTCTGTACCCTTTGGCATTTGCAAAACCTATTTTAAGTATTCTCTGTTATGCAACCAGTGATAAACATATAGATATATTTTTTCCTAATAGCCATTTTTAAAGTATTTGGGAGTGTCTAAAACAGTTGAACTGCTCATTTTACACTAAAATTTTGGAGAATAATGTTTGATTTTCTTGCCCTAAAAATATAATTTCTTCAACAAAATATAAACTTATTTTTATTTCCCATTTTTAATTTTATAGCAACTGATAGAAACATAAGAACAATAAAGCATGACTGATAAATAGAACAATTATTTTTAAATTACAGCTTTCAAGAAATCTAGCTTATATTGACATTAAAACTTAGTTCTTGGAGTATCTTTATTCAAGATAATGTTAATTAAAACAAGGTGATTTTACGAAACCAAGCACACATATAAATATCTGAGTATAAAACAACTTGCTAACTGGTTTAGAAAACATAGCTGGTGAAATCAAGCAAACTATTACCTAGGCAAGGTAGATTTAGCTTAACAAGACCTCTGTGACAGTATTAAAAAAAAAAATCTGCATAGTTTCTCAAATTTTAATTTCTTTTCTCTAGGATCACAAATTTCCCAGAAGTCAATGGACTTCTAGAACTAAAGTTATGTATTCTCTCACAGAGTGGGACACGACTGAGCGACTGAACTGAACTGAACTGACTTATTCTAAATATGCCAGTATTAATCTTCAGAAACCACAGTTTCTGTTAATAAACTTTTCAAGCCAAAAAAAATCCCACAAAAATTAAAAAAATACTCACCACCTCCACTGATTATATCAGGTTTGGCTTTCATTATTTTGCAGAACTGTCTTCGGCAGTTTTCTATCCATGCAGTTTGTTTATCAGACATTTTGAAGCACAATAAAAGTTTGCCAAGATCATCGTCTAATAAGAAAGATGTCTTGTTATGTTATTTTAACAAAACATGTTAGATACACTGAAAAATAAGTATTAATGTTAGTAATGTAAACAGTTATAAGTTACAGAAAAAGTATTTTATATGGGTTTCAAAAGGAAACAGATATTTTTCTGTAATTATATCTTACACCATCAAACTGCTATCACCATGTTTATCAAAAACTCATAAAATGGACTGATTTATAACCATTACTCTTTCTTACAGAAACATTAATCATTACTGAGTATTTGATTTAATACAGAGTGCGGACCTTAAGATTTCACTACAGAGACTGATATAAACATTATACTAATTCTTCATGTACATTCAGGTGCAGTTTTATTCATTTCTTTTTTTTTTTTTTAGAGCCAACCACGCCTTTATTAGTTTCTGCAGCAGGGCAACTGGAGCCTCTATCTACAAGGGAATTTTAGCATGCTACTCTGGCTACTGGGCTTATTCATTTCTTTAAAGCAAAAAGAAAGCATAAATGTAGAAAATCTCTAGTCAGTTATTTATTTCCTCTTTTTGCTAAAAGAAAAAAATAAAACCTAGGCTGAAAATGAATCATGCTAAAAAAGCATGCATGCACGTGCTCAGTCCAACTCTGCAACCCTTTGGACTGCAGCCCACCAGGCTCCTCTGTCCATGGGATTCTCCAAGCAAGACTACTGGAGCAAGCTGCCATTGCCTCCTCCAGGGATCTTCCTGACCCAGGGATGGAACCAACATCTCCTATGTCTCTTGCACTGGCAGGTGGATTCTTTTACCACTGAGTTACCTGTTAAGTCCTGCTCAAAGAGCACCTTTTTCTAAAATATAACTTTTCTTCTTTCTGAGCAATTTTATGAATATGGCAATATTAATTTTATCTTTTCCTTTTATTCACATGAGATTTTTCCACCTTCTATTTTAATTGTATTCCCATCAGATTTTGCATGAGAAAACATCTAATTTATTGATTTAGAAAACATCTAAATGTCTTAAAGATTTAGGTGTCATTTAAAAAGGATATACAAATACATATATATATAAGCATATATACTATTTACTCACATATATATGTAAAAATTCAAAGAGGAGGAAAAAAAATCTCTTCTTTCTAGAAGAGCAGAGGGTGGGGGGATAGACAGTCACATGAACTCATACACTTTACCACTTTCCTTGAAGGAGAATTTGGGGAAAGAGGAACAAGACCATTTTCCATGTATAAAGTCAAAGGCCTGATTGCTTCTACCCAAAGACATGGTTTGGAACACTACAAAATACAGCCACCTAAGGGGCTAATGAATTTCACCAAGAAAATATCAGTAGTCAACTTAACACTAAAGAGGATTTCAACCAACTCCTGGTCCTTTGAAATGAATACAATTATAATAAAGAAAGTAACTCCTTATTCTTAGGAATTAAAAAAGAAATAAACGTTTACCTTACTAAACTATTTTATTTTTCCATCTAATTTTTGTAAAAATACATTCAATAAACATGCATGGAATTCCTATGTGGCTATAACAATCTAGACAGACAAGGTCACTGGCCCTCATGAGACTTACATGTGTGTGTATTTGTGCATAAACAGTCAGGAGTATAACTGAGTATAATCAAGATTTATTAATACATATCATTCCAATGATCTAAGCTGGTCTTATTTAGTCCTAAAAAAGCAGCTACATATCCTCACTCAATCCTCATGGTTATCATATACAAAATTATATGACTGATTGTACAAATCATAATTCATGTAACTATTTCCGCATTTGACAATTAGGTCACCTTCTCATATCAAAACTACAGAAGAAGTCTTCTCATATCAAAACTACAGAAATATTCTTTTGTACAAACATTATGTGTATACAAGGGGCTTCCCAGGTGGTGCTGGTGGTACAAGAAGCCACCTGCAGATGCAGGCGACATAAGAGACGTAGGTTCAGTCCCTCGGTTGGGAAGACCTCCTGGAGAAGGAAATGGCAACCTACTCCAATGTTCTTGCCTGGAGAATCCCATGGACAGAGGAGCCTGGAGGGCTACAGCACATGGGGTTGCCAAGGGACTGAAGGGACTTAGCATGCATGCACATGAGTATACAAATGTATCAAATATATGCACAGTCATAAGTATCCATATAAACCAGAAAGAACTGTTCTGTCAGAAGAATGTATAATTCTGATACTTAGTAGTAATCTAACATATTCTCTTTAAATATCAAGGGCAAAATGATCCTATAATATTCCATAAGTGGCCTCAATCAGAGGCAATATCTAGAGAAAAATGAAACTGATTTAGTCAAAGGAGAAAATTACTATTTTTAATAAAAACTCAAAACTTTAAACAAGAAATATCATAGCTGATAATTTTGTTGGAAATTATATTATTAACAGCAGAGTATTAATGTTAAATGCATCTTGATATGTTAGGTAACAGACAACTCTACAGCATTAAATGGAATTTTTATAGTTTCCATTTAGAATATCTACATTATTTACTCCCCAAGAGCAAACTATCTAGAACCCAATAAGAATCACTAATTATTTGTACCTCTTAATTCCCTTTACATATCTAGCACCACTCCATAAGTATAAAGTAAGATACAAGGATATAATTATAGAACAGAGAATGCAGTCAAGATTTTATAAAAAAAAAAACTTTATATGTAGTATAATCTATAAAAATATTGAAGCACTATGCTGTACACCTAAAACTAACATAACACTGTAAGAGTCAGTACAGTTCTATAAAAAATCACTAGTGGTACATGACTGAAAAGACAAGAGCAGTTTGCTTTTCATCTTTGTTTCCTTCTGTGTCAATTCTTTCTATCCATATGTGACCCTTTTATAACCACCACCATCCCTCAAGGCGAAAATGTCCATAAAGCTCTTTTGTAAGTTACTTGCTATTTAAAAAACCTGTTATCTTTTCTTCTTCCCTCCTGCTCACACCCTCTTCTTGCTCTCCTGTCTCTCTCCTTTCACGTTTGCTATTCTATTTTGCTCTTGCATTTCCTTCCAAGGAAAAAAGCACAGGCACTAGACTGTAAACAGTCCTGAAGCAGTAAATGTGGTATGCATCTGAATCTACCAACTGGGAGAAAGGCTGAAAGACCCAATTTAGTACCTAGAAATTTGATTTGAGGCAATTAACAAATGCTGAGCTGGAGACAGAGTGCCTAGAAGATTCCTAGAGAGACAACTTTGTATCCTCATAATCTGGTTATGGTTTCCCCCAAATCTCAGTGGGAATGTGAGCTCTTCAATGTGCATATATCACAGCTAATAATATTTAGTGATTTGATATGTTCACTGAAAATTTGTATCTGTAATGTTAACAAGTTTGAGGAAAACAATTCCTTTATTTCCCTCCTTCAAATCCGGAACCAAATGAAAAGTAGACAGGAGGATATAAATGCAGTTCAAAATATCAATGTTAGTACCGTAACGGCTAAATTAAGCACCTTAACTTGGATCTCCTGCCACATGGACTTAACAAATCTCTCCCCTGCACTGAAAAAATATATTCAATCATAGACAGTGATGAGACAACCAAAGGTCTCTATTGATTGCTTTTGTTAGGAAAGCTATGAGTATAACGCTAACTGAAAAAAAAAACTGGTTTAAATAAAAATTAATGAAAAGATAGGCTAACTTGGAAATATAGCCTTTAGGTAGTCTAATCCAAGATTTTTCATTCCTTCTCCAAAATTCACCTACCAAACACTTTTCCTTCCTAACTTAGTGCATAATAAGTGAGGAAGTCCAGAGAGAGGCCAGTAACTTTACTCTAGCAAAAGCCCTTGGGCATGGAAATGAGGCAAGGAGAAATGGAATCATAGAAACACAACAATTCTAAATCAGTGATTTGGGGAATAGAACAAACCTGAACGATACATAAAACTGAATGTTTACCAAAATTTCTTTGTTTATCGTCACATAAAAAATTTAAAAACCATAGTTTTGCTTCTGGTCATGATGGAGAAATTGGAAATATACTTGCCTTCCTACCATAAATAACTCAAGAAATGGTTAAAATATATCAAAACACTGTTTTTAGACACTGGTCAACAACAGGCAGTATAGGACTGTCATGTCTGAGAAAAGGGAAACTAACAATGTACCTTTACAACTGGGCCCTGGTTTTTTCTAGAATTACTTTCAACATCATTATGCAGGAAGTGAGGCATTGAGTTAAAGGTACAGAAGTCAAACTGCAGAGAGACTGAGGAGCCTAAAATTTGTGGAAGAGGGAGAACAAAGAAAGAACTCCAAAAATCTGTTTAAGTTTTTGTCTAGGTGGTTGCAAAGACTCGGCTGTGCAGATGAAGAGTGAAGCTCCACAAGACTGGGCAGAGAACATGAACAATTCTGAGTATACATACGGCGAGGAGATGTCCAAGTTACAGAAAGACCATGAAGAGTCCTCCTCAGAGTTCCACAGACCAAAAAAGTCAAACCTTTGTAAAAGAGTTAAGTTAACCTTAAAGTAAAGACACGGGGCTTCCCAGGTGGCGCACTGGTAAAGAATCCGTCTGTCAATGCAGGAGCTGCAGGTTTGATCCTTGGGTTGGGAAGATCCTCCAGAGGAGGAAATGGCAACCCACTCCAGCATGCTTGCCTGGAGAATTCCATGAACAGAGATGCCTGGTGGGCTACAGTCCATGGGGTCACACATAGATACGATTGAGCGACTAAACACACACATACACACACAGATGATGTTACACTCACCCTAACAAAAACAATGAAAGCCCTGAATGATCAAACTGATTTCACAAGTAACTTGACTGCATGGCCCTAAATGTCCATTACTCTTTAAAGAAAACAAAATCTAGCACTCAACTATGTAAAATTAATAATGCTGAGTATTTAATTAAAAGTTACTAACCAGTAGTTAAATCAATTAATATAAAGACACAGAAAGGACCTTGGTTATACAACTACTGGGTAAATATTTTAAAGCAGTTGTTTTTAAGAATTTTAAGAAAATACAAACA